GCCCCCATCTTAGCCCCGGCCCCGCCGCCGCCATTTGAAGCGCGAACCCGGCGCCCTGAGGCGAAGGGCCCGTCCCCTGCCGCCGCCGCCGGCGGGGGCTGACTCAGGCTGCGGCGGGGCAGGGCCTGCGGCCATCCCGGGCCCGCTCCCCGCCTGGCCCTCGCCTGAGGGGCGCTCCCGCCCGCCGTTCCCGCTGCGGCTCCGGCCTCCGCGCAGGCCTCGGCGGGGGGCAGCGGGCACCTCCCGCGGGTAGGGCCTTGTCGAGCCCGGTCGTTCTGAGGGGTGTCCCGGGGAAAGCCGCCGGAGAGGAGTCACCAATCCTTGGGGAAGAGGCTGAGCCGCCCTGACGGGGGGGAGGCTGGTTGCGGGGAGCTGCGGGGTCCCCCCTCCCAGCGGGGAGAAGCGGGGAGGGTGCTTGGTACTTACGGACCGCCATGTAACATCAGAAGCCCTTGTCTTTTCCATGTTATTCTCCTCTTAAAAATCTTAATTTGGACAAATTATTTCATCTCCTGAGGAGAGCGTTGCTCGGTGAGGGGCTTTTTTCCCCCGCTGTCACCTCAGATGGCATTGGCTTTGGGGGTGCTGTGGTGCTGCAGGTAAAGCCCAGCAGATAAACCCCGCTGCAGCCCTTCCTCCTCCTCAGCCACTGCGGCCGATACACAGCTCAAGTATTTCTGGTGTCTCCATCTGTTTTTCCCTTGTTGGGAGCTGCCAAGTGCGGCAAAAGCCAAGTGACCTGGAACAAAAGGAAAACAAATACTCTAATGCAATCTACTTTATTAATTTGGATACTCTAAGTCAACGTTAATACCAGTTTTTAATGTTGTTTTCTACCTTCGATTTCCATAGCTTCGTTTTTTGTAGTACTTGCATATCTGGATCTGTTTTCATTTTTTATTTTGTGCTCAAGTTTTTAAAGTGTTTTAAAATGTTGTCCCACCGTAGATAACAATCTCAAGCTGATGCATTTGCTACATTTGGAAGCTGTCCAGCCACCAGCCCCTTAGCTGTCCCTCTAGATAACAATCTCAAGCTGATGTATTTGCTACGTTTGGAAGCTGTCCAGCCACCAGCCCCTTAGCTGCTCTGCTTGCCGATACTGAAGATTCAGGGATTTTTGGTAAGAGAGCATGGCTTTTGTTAATGTTTCCACATTAAAATGTCACCTGAAGGGCTGTGCCTTGGAATATCTGATCTCTGACAGAAGGAAGAGGGTGCAGAAGAGCTGCCTCGTAGGTTACGTGAGTACCTGAAGCCCTGTCTGTCTTCATGGTGACCCTTCTCCTGGTCCAGGGCAGGAATGTGAAAGGACATGGGTTCTTGTGTGAATTTCATATTCCGTGTAACAAAATGGGCTGGAGAAGGGGACAAGGAAGGGGAGTAGGAATTAACCTCTTGTCTTTAACCTGAGGGTTTACAAAATGTTTGTGTTGTTTCATAAAGTAACAAAAGACAAACTGCCTACAAACAAGGCTGCCTAACGCTTGGATGTTTTCACTTTACAGTTGATTTAGGCTGTTCAAAATGAACGAACATCCTAAAAAGAGGAAAAGGAAGACTCTACACCCTTCTCGATATTCAGGTCAGTCTGGAGCTTGAGTTATGTGCACTTTAGTTTGTTTTTTTTACTCAAAATAATTGCTGTGTTACGGGAGGGGATTACATGTGCTAATACATGGAGAATTGGTAACACAAAGGGTGGGATAAGAAGTTTTGGTCCGAATGTATTGAGTACCTGCTCTGCTCTTCAGACACTGTGGGTCAGTGCGTGTGGGCTGTTCTGTTCCCTACTCCCCACAAACTGGGAAACTTGCTCAAGCTGTAAAATGAAGATGATTCTCCTAACACACAAGGGGAGGAATTTAGTAAAAGTGGAGGTGTCCAGAAATGGTCAGCACTGGCCCAGCTGTGCTCCTGTCACTGTCTCCAGCGGGAGCAGTTTGATAATGATTATATCTGAGACTCTAAACATCAGACCAGCACAGAGTTCTCCCAGCACAAGAATTAAAAATGCAGCCAGCGAAGAGAATTTTGGCGCACACTAAATACATATGTAGCTGCAGTCATGTCTTGCTATTAAAACTTACTAGTTTTCTTCTTTTTTAAGATTCTTCAGGTGCAAGCAAATACATAGACAACAGTGGAATATTCTCAGACCACTGCTATAGCGTCTGTTTTATGAAACAGCCAGATATAAAGTATTCTGAAAACAGAGGTAAGACACACATTTTGGGGTGGTGTTCTGTAGTTCTTTACGAAGTGTGTCACACTCTTACTGATACAATTAAGTAGAATATAAATGATGTAGTGGGTGACTTGTGAGCATCGTTGTGATCTCACGTACCTTAGAACTGGTGGAAGTTTGTTTAATTGCTATAATCAAAATGTGATTTTCAAAGTAAAAAATGACAGCTAAAAGATCATTCGATTTCACAGCATTTATAATGATCAGACTTCTTTATCTAAACATCTGCTAGCAAGGTAACATAAAGCTGATGTAAATAACCTAACAGTTCCTATGGAATTTACCAGCAGTTGCCTTGAGCTGTACTTGTAGTTATGGAAAACAAAATACCTTTTCATGAAACATCCACTGGTGTATGTAAAGTTTAGCAGTGCAAATGGAAGGGTGGATTTCTATTAGATTTAATTTTCTTTTCACTCTAATTTATTAGCCATCAAGTCTGCAGAAGTCTTAGAAAGCGTTATATTTTAAAGTGTCCATAAATATTTAAGAATATTTTTTTAAATTGTGTCTTTACAAAAATACAAAAAATTTGTACTGGAAAAAACTTCAAATGTAATCAACGGACTACTTTTGCTGAAACTTTAAAGACAGAGTTGTGACATTTTGAATTCTTTTGTTGTTTTCTGTATGTATGGAAATAATAGTATACTTAGTAATGATAGTATATTTAGTATTTATTGCTGCTTTCTTTAATGCGAGCTGTGATGCGATTAGCGTATAAACATAAATTCGTGCAACTAGAATAAATAGTAAATAAGACCTATGGTTAAAGAGTCATGGCGATTCTAGTGAGAGGCAAAGGATGACAAGAAAATGCTTGTTTTCTCTCTGCAGGTAGATTCCACAACCCCGTGCAGAGCCTCGACACGGACGATGATGGGAGCCCAGTGCACGCCGGCACCTCGCACTGGAGCGGGTCCCATTCAAACGTCGTGGGGTTGCACTACTCAGAGCCTAAAAAGAAGGATAAAGGTAGAGGTAAATGTGGATTTGTTTGTATCTCAGGTGCTGGGAAGCTGGAGAGCACGGCTGCTGGCTTTTAATGTAACTTTTGCTTTGATAGAAGAAGCGAAGGATTTGTAGTTTATGTTATTTATCTGTTAGTTAAACATAATATATAGTCTGGCTGAGGGGAAAATAACTGCTTTTTGCATTTGTAAGCTGCTACAACTAACTAAAAAGTTAAATAAGGACCCAGGTGTATAGCAGGGTTGTTCTTAATTGTTTTCATGATGTATTTCCCCCTGCAGATAAAGGTACTAATAACGGGATGTGCAGGGACTTGTGCGATTCGCCTATATTCAGTGACAGCCCTACGGAAGAGGAGAAACCCCTCGATATTCAAACTGTAGAAATCTCCACGACAGAAGTGAACGCCGTGGAAGTTCACGATATAGAGACACAGACCGTGTCACCCGAGAAGCTGGAAGCTGAGGACCTAGAGGAAATCCCTCTGGAAACCTGTAAAATCTTTGAGAAGAACCAGGCGCTGAATATCACGGCTCAACAGAAATGGCCTTTGCTGAGAGCCAACAGCAGCGGCTTGTACAAGTGTGAGCTCTGTGAGTTTAATAGCAAGTATTTTTCTGATTTAAAGCAGCACATGATCCTGAAGCACAAGACGTGCGCGGACACCCACGTCTGCAAAGTTTGTAAGGAGAGCTTCTCCAGCAAAGTGCAGCTCATCGAACACGTCAAACTCCACGAGGAGGATCCCTACATCTGTAAATACTGCGATTACAAGACGGTGATATTCGAGAACCTGAGCCAGCACATAGCAGACACTCACTTCAACGACCACCTCTACTGGTGCGAGCAGTGTGACATGCAGTTCTCCTCCAGCAGCGAGCTGTACCTGCACTTCCAGGAGCACAGCTGCGACGAGCAGTACCTCTGCCAGTTCTGCGAGCACGAAACCAACGACCCCGAAGATCTGCACAGCCACGTGGTGAACGAACACGCCTGTCGGCTGATCGAGCTGAGCGACAGCTACCACAGCAAGGAGCGAGGGCAGTACAGCCTCATCAACAAAATCACTTTTGACAAGTGCAAAAACTTCTTTGTGTGCCAAGTGTGCGGCTTCCGGAGCAGGCTGCACACCAACGTCAACAGGCACGTGGCCATCGAACACACCAAAATATTCCCCCACGTTTGCGATGACTGTGGGAAGGGCTTTTCAGGTATGTTGGAGTATTGCAAGCATTTGAGCTCTCATTTATCTGAAGGGATTTATTTGTGTCAATACTGTGAATATTCGACAGGACAGATCGAAGACCTTAAAACTCATTTGGATTTCAGGCACTCGGCAGACTTGCCTCACAAATGTACCGATTGCTTAATGAGGTTTGGAAATGAGAAAGATCTTTTAAGTCATCTTCAGATACATGAGACGGCTTGATTACTTTCCCTGTCATCGATTTGTTAGAATTGGAATTGATTTCCAGTCACTAAAATGTGATATTAAATACGATTTTCACAGCAATTACACAATTCTAATGTTTTTCTCTTTATATCAGCAAAGCATGTGTAAGAGCTTGGTGGTGTGAATTTCCTGACCTAGGGGTTTCCAGAGGAATAATCACATTTACAGTGTGATGGGTCAGATTTCGGGGGGAGGGACGGGGGGAGTAGTTGCATGTTGTGATAGCAGTTCTCACGGTCATCCCAAGCTTTCACACCTGATGTAGGAGAGCAGCTCTGGAGCTGAAAAAGGGGGGAAAAAAGCCCACATCTAGGTCCATGCTTAAGTAATGCCACGGTGATCTCAGCCACGTATCCAGCCCCCATTACCCATCTGGCAGCAGGTCCTTGTGCTGATGTTTAGCAAATTGCACCAGCAAAGATAAGGATGTTCCCAAAAATTTCCCAGGCATGGACCTCTGCAAATTCATATACCAGCCTGTGTTCCCCACCTCACACTTTTGATAAGCTTTTAAAATTGTCCTGTTTTTCTCTTGGAGTACCTTATCACACTTCATCATCCTGTTTCTTTGTTGAGTGTTTAATTTCAGCTCCTGTCTGTGGGACTGTCCAACAGCCCTCTCCTCCACGCATTTACTACAGGCCTCCCACCTGATTTTTGTCTCCTTTATTTGCCTTCGGTTCCTATCTTTTAATGCACCAAGGAAATCACTTTGCTTGTGTGTAGATTATCTTTTAAGAAGTAATTGTAAGGGAATTTGCAGGGTGATCCAGCTGAGAACGTACAAAGGCTGTGACTTCCATATCTAAAACCCTGATTTAGCTCTCGCTGAAATGATGAATGTCACCAACCTCATTTAGAGCAAGCTTCTATGAGTTTATATTATTCTGTATATTTATAACTACCTTTCCACGGCTAGTAATTTGAGGAGTTATTTTAATTGTCTAAATTTTAAACTTCTCCTGTATACTGGCTTAAATCACTGATACAGTACTAAACTTTTATTATCTTTATCACTTTCAAATGGTTTCACGCATCTCTTCAGATTAGATAGCACTGTCCTGCCATCACAATCTTTAAAAGTGAATTTTTATGATTCCTTCTATATTTCTGAACGGATCCTTGGACAGATAAAAGGGTGAGGCCATTTAGATGGTGATAATTATCAGGCTGAAATCACCTGAAAATTAGTGGTGGAGTTTACATTTCTTTCTGCATTGATTGTAAATTTGTAATGTAAGATTGTCTAATGCAAGCTTTGTATAGATAAAATCAACATATGAAACATTTCTTGATGGCTGAGATTTGGTGTTACCATCTTCAAGGGTCTTTGCATTTGATTGTTAAAGCCAAGGACTAGTTAGCGTGTGTTTCTTTGTAGGAGGCAAGACCATTTTTTGTCATTTGGAAATGCTGATTTATTACTAAATCTTGTGTGTAGTCACTGAGGAGGGCAACCTGATGGTGTCCCAAATGCATTTTATTAGTCTGTTGTATAGAGAATGAATGTCTGTAGTAGAATTGCTGGTTTCCTATTTTGAACACATTCATCCTGGCTGGCTAAAAACGGTAGTAATGGTATCATTAACAAAGCACTAAAAAGAATTATGTTATAATTTCCTGAGAGGGGGGCTGCTGGTTTTCTTAAAGCCCTGCTCTTGGTGATGACACCCAGGTGGAACAGCGCAGCTGAGCTCTGGAGACAAAGCTGTTCCAGAGGACAAGTGACAAGAAGTGGAAAAAACATTTTAAAACCCCCAAAAAATAAGTAAGCGGGCTTAAGAAGTGTGTATGTTTGTAGAGAACAGCATTGTCTCCTGTACAGGAAAGGTTGGTCTCTTGCAAAAGTACAGAGCCCTTTGATACAAAAAACTTGCTCCTTGACTCCTGAAAAGCTTTGTCTCACTTTGACTTGTGTTATTTCTGATCTCTAAACCAGGGATGAAAATACCCCATAAGAATGTTATGAAGCCAAATAATTCCTAACCAAAATGCACCCCACAGCATCAAATGAGGAATATATACAAGTGTAGCTTAGGTTGGATTTTATAAATAAGGGACTAATGTTAATGTAAGCTTTTCAACGTGTATCAAAGTCAATGGAAATGTATAGGAGTAGCTGGTCTGACTTTGCCTTAGCAGGAACACAAGCAGGATATTGGCTTCCACATGCTAAAACAAGAAAGATATTAAGTAGTAGAAAAAATTGGCAGCGAGTGGAGTCTGCCTAGAAGCTGGAAGGCTGCAAGGAATGACCACACACCTCAAGGACAGCGTGTTGTTCCCCTGGAAGGGAAGAGTTGGGTTTATTTCTGTGGAGCGTGTGAGGGGAAGGTCAGTGCTGGGACATGGCTGAACCCAGGTGAACCCAGAGCACGTGGATGCAGCCAGAGCCTTGGGTCGGCTTTAACCCTGTCGCTGGAGCACTTCAGCCTCTGGAGCCAGAGAAAGGAACTGGAGACATCGGAAATTTGCCAATATTATTTTTTTTTTCTCTGAGACAATAAGCGTATCAAGCTCAAATTACTCATTACACACATCTGCAAAGTTCATCGGCTTCAGGAACACTATTCTAACTAAAAGCTATACAAAATCGTGAGATGGGTTGGGGAAGTATTTTGTGTTTGGGAAGTATTTTGTATTTCGGAAGTAATTTGTATTTTATTCCTCGCTTTTCAGACTTTTCAAGCCTTCAGGTTAGATGTGTGTTGTGTATTTCATCTTTCTGGATCATGTTACTGAACAAAAGAATTTTTATATGAAAGACGGTGTTGACTTCAAAATTTAAATCCTACTAATCACTGCAGGAACTTGAACTGTAGTGAGTTGGTGGTGTGTTCTCTGTAATATAATGCTTATTCAGTGTCCTTGATTCTCATTGTTTGTGGTTGTCCTCATCTTCCTCCACTCTTTCACGGTGCTGTATCGAATGTATAAACTACCGGTGCTTTTTGAACTCCTTGGCAGCCCTTGGCGTTTGTTGTTTTAAGCGGACTCTGATTAAAAGCTCGGTGCTGACGCCTTGCCTTTGTGTCCCAGTCCCCCTTGGGGCCCAGCCGTCATTCACCTCACGGGCCCGGCGCCGGACGGGCCCGGGGCGAGCCATGCCGGGGCGATTTACCTTCTCCTCTCCCCTCCCCGGGGCTGAGGGGCCTGTTCCTGGTCTCCATTTCACGAGCAGCCGCTCCTCCTCTGCCCTCGCTGAAGATGGCGGCCGCCCCCCCTCTCAGCCCTCACTAAAAATGGCGGCC